TTCAAACAAACAAACAATCTTCAGTTGCTATGAAGAAATAATAAAGGCTTCCTTTTTCAGTAGGTTGTCTCTGTTGACTCACGTCTCTTAACAATTTTACAGAAATGCACTATCGAATAATTGAAATTTGTCATGAACTAAATATATGTCAACCCACATTCCTCAACTGTATCTGCAGATACGCAGTTTCATTAGCATGTGCAGATCATTCATATCAAATGTGATTAACTCTCAGTATAGATACACACACACACAGTCCAGCACTGTGCTATCACCATCAGAGTCAACTTAGTTACACAAGTCACCACACTGTGCTATCACTATTAGAGTCAATTTAGTCACACAAGTCACCACTCTGTGCTAACACCATTAGAGTCAACTTAGTCACCCAAGTCCCAGCACTGTACTATCACCATTAGAGTCAACTTAGTCACCCATTTTTGATTTTTGGAATATCCATTTCTGGAATCATTGACGGCATTAGAGTATTAGCTTGTTGATGCGTTCAAAGTACTTGTGAATATATAAAAAAATAGCTGCGGCTCATAATTCACCTCATCGATCTCTTATTATATAACATATAACCATTCCAGTTAATCCCAAACTGTTTGCATGATTCTTAGCCTCAAATTTTTGTTCCAATATTATATAATCAAAGCACCTATTTTGATGTACAACTTCCCTAACTATACGTTTATATGCAATCTAATGTGTATCAACTATTGTAGAACAGACTTGGTTCACAAACTTACCGAGCAAAACATCCGACTAAGTATATATGGTAAAGTGTATGCCTTCCCATCTTCCAACTCTTAACATAGCTATATAAACAACGGCCTAGCTAATGAACATAGCTCCTTCATCTGCATGAATCTCTCTTTGTGCTACTAAACACATCTATCCATTGTTCAGTTGACACAACAGCATCGGATTCCATTAATGTATTGACCAATAGCTAACCGTTAGCCCACAAGATAAAGCAATTAATAACAACCAACAAATACGGTTTACCTTTTCTTGTTTAGGTCAGAGAACATGCTATGTTCATGGTAATATACAGTAACAGAGAACTTACAACTTTTTGCCTGTATTTCACTGATGTTGAGCGTTTTTCGTTTGGGCAGAGCATTTTCTAAATGTGTAGACACTCTTCACTTACACTCACAAGAAAAGTTGATATTATCTCTATCTAGAACTCAGAGTTCCTTTCACGTGTCGAAATCAAACGTCCATATCAAATTTCAAAATGGAAGTAAAAATATACAGAGCGTATAAGTTTCAAAGGACAGCCATGAGGCTGAGAAAAATGTTGTTAATTTGAGGCATACTTGGAAATGTTTGGTTTCACAATTCTTACGGAGGTAAGGATGTGTTGAAAAACTTCTTAAAAGCGTTCAATCACTTCACTTTGACCTGAAATAAATGTGAATTATATCTTTTGTTTAGGATGTCTTAAGGTTAAGTTGTTTTCTGAAAGAATATACATAACAACTGTTCTATTTATCTCAGAAAATTTAATACAAAGGAAAGACTCACACACCGAGAAACTTCATTCTGTCAAGCAAACTATTTTTTAAACGGAGATGGAAAATGAACTGGGCTGATTTTCCGCTTGTAAGTCATTTTACCTTAGTTTAATAAGATGAGGAGAATCGCCTTGTTTTTAAACTCTTAAAAATGGTTAAATAAACATTCAATAGAAAAATGATTTATTCATAATTTGTTATTTTTTCATAGAATGGATAGGAGCTCTGTCAATGGCATGTGGGCTCCTTGTCACCCCTCTAGTTGTGGCTGTTTGCCGAAGAAAAAGTACTAGACTTACAGCAGTGTTTGGGGGACTGATGACAACCTTGGGATGCCTTTTTACCTCATTTGCCTCTCAAATGCATCAAGTGTTCGTCAGTTATGGGTTTTTTATGAGTTGTGGACTCGGAGTCGCCAGAGAAACTTCAAATATTATGATCGGACAGTACTTCAAGCGCAGGCGCGAATTAGTGGAGCTGTTTGTCCAGTCTGGCACTGGCGTAGGAATTGTGATTGTGTCTGTATTATTAATAAACATTATCAGGTAAGTGGTTAATTATTCCTGCACTGAGTCAAATGTGGAATACTAAATTGCTTAAAGATACAATACATAATATCACAAGAGCAATAGCCTATAACGTAAAGTTCAAAAATTATTAAGATTAACCATCACTTGAAATAAAAAATGCTTAGAACGTTTTAAGCAAATGTTTTTCATTTGTGTTGCTGCTTGACGAATATTGTTTTCTCAAAATGTTATAATACACTTGGGTTATTTTAACTAAGCATAAGCATAAGAAATTATTAACGTTTAATTTTAACAGAATGTGATACAGTGACTGGCAGTTTATTGGAATTCCCCACTTACTCTTGAATTGTACCATCTTTCCTCGTAATAATAATCAATAATAATCTAGACTTAGAATACCATCGATTTCAAGAGGTCTTGGAAAGTATCTTGTCCATTTGTCAAGGATTATGATCCGCAACTGGTACAGAGATACTGGCAAAAAATTATGATGGTAAATGCGACATTCACATCCATTTCAAAGATGTCTGGATCAAGATCTTTTCTTATTGTTGGCTAAGGAAGGTAACTGAATTCGTGGTCTTCAAACTAATATATGACATTAGGTGTTTTGCTAAATGATCATCGTATTATAACCAATTTGTGTTTTATGAAAATTGAAATTAATCAGAAATGTTTATTTCATTCTAAAAAGTTTTCTTACAAACACCAGATGTTAGTTGTAAAGCAGAAAATACCCCTTTCACTTGGTACACCGCATTAATCTTAATTAAAATAAATTCTTTGATATAAACATTTTAACTTTTCTCTACTGTTATCCTAAGATAGCCTTCTAAAGAACAACCATGAGTATGCGAAACTTTTTTTTTGTAAGTAAGTAAAATTATTTTCTTACCCTTCCTCTTTCCTAGACTTCCCCAACAGCATGACCACGCACTTGCAGGAAACTTTCCCATTAAGCAACTTAACAATGCTAACAGTACCTGCTAGATGTTTTACAATTGATATTACGATTTTCATTAGAAAAAGTTTTATGGTAATTCAAAAGCTGATTACGTGTTTTAATAAAAGTGAAAACAAGGTTACTGATAATAAACAGTTATCTCTTTAATTCAATGTAAAGATACGTAAAGTAAAGTAAATGTTGAGTGGAAATTGTAAAACAGTAAAATATCTGAAAATATTGGAAATAGAACCTACGAATGATGGTTTTCAAACATTTATTGCACTTTTTACCTAGACGATGAGTAAGATGCTGTAAAATATAACTGGTGTACTGCTGAATGAACAAAATTTAAGTGTTCCATAATTTTCATTTATAGCTTCTACTATATATAATATAGATATGTAGAATATATATATATATATATATGTGTGTGTGTGTTGGGGGACTAAGTTGACTCTAATGGTGATAGCACAGTGTGGTGACTTGTGTGACTAAGTTGACTCTAATAGTGATAGCACAGTGTGGTGACTTGTGTGACTAAGTTGACTCTAATGGTGATAGCACAGTGTGGTGACTTGTGTGACTAAATTATTCTAATAGTGATAGCACAGTGTGGTGACTTGTGTTACTAAGTTGACTCTAATGGTGATAGCACAGTGCTGGGACATGGGGGACTAAATTGACTCTAATAGTGATAGCACAGTGTGGTGACTTGTGTGACTAAGTCGACTCTCATAGTGATAGCACAGTACTGGGACTTGGGGGACTGAATTGACTGTAATAGTGATAGCACAGTGTGGTGTCTTGTGTGACTAGTTGACTATAATGGTAATAGCACAGTGTTGGGACATGGGGGACTAAGTTGACTCTAATGGTGATAGCACAGTGTGGTGACTTGTGTGACTAAGTTGACTCTAATAGTGATAGCACAGTGTGGTGACTTGTGTGACTAAGTT